AAATGTTCTTTTCTTTTAACCTTGATACCAATTAGTGGACCCATGTTGCAATGTTGTTCTAAAGTATTATCATATTTAGTGTTATGTAATTTTGGCAAATAAAATGCAAAGCCGTGTATTAGACATTATCAAATGACCGGGTTTTTTGCAGCTTATCATTGTTTAAGAAAAAGTACTCTAATGTGGCTGTATACATAATTTCAAGTGGATCTCAATAAAACGAATGGTATGTTCGATTTACAATGGCACTAATATACAGAGTGTCCCATATCATATTAGATTATCATCAAGCTTTAACGCCAAAATATGCACACATAATACTCGAAAAACCTAGTATTTTCTGCAAGAAAATGATTCATTGTTTTTAAATTTTTTGGTTAGTCCTAAAATCACAATTTTTAACTATACACGATCTAATACGATGTGGGACACCCTGTACCTCTTTATGCATTACAATGAGACCTTAGTCACAGAATAAATGTTCATTAAAAAATTTTCAGAAAAAAGTAATATCTTATTTTCTAGACAATGTTTGAAGGGTTCAGTTGTGCAACGGACAATGGACAAAGGACAACGGACAATGGACAATGGACAATGGACATGCCATTCCAAAAAAAGAAGGTCACTTGAAATTACATCGACAGTTCTTTAAACAAACGTTAAAAACAAAAACTATTCAATGGGCCAAAGACGCTCAACATTTTTTCAAATGGACATAAAGATAAGATAAATTGACATTTGAAAAAAATTTAATTTGTTTAGCCTATGTTACCCCCATGGTACTCAAGGGTTCTCTCAAAATATTTCAGCCCATTTGGTCCAGGTGTTAGGCCCCAGTCAGGACATTTGGAGGAAAATGTACTATAGATTCTAACATGTGTATTTAGCTTAATCAACTACACTGATCATTGTTGTTATTAGGTGCAGTGCTTGGAAAAGGGAGATGAAAATAAACCAAAATTTCATGGTCTATTTCTAGGTCTATTTGGGTTATAAAAAGAATTGTAACTTTTTCTTCACCTTAATCATACATGCTAAAATGGTGAATGAAGACAACTTCTCATAAACATACAGTACTCCCCAAAATAAAATGGTAAGCATTGACAACTTTTCAAAATATCCAAAATGATATGAAAATGTAAATGATTTTTCAATGCTTACCATTTTATTTTGGGAAGCACTATATTTCTAAAACCCAAATAGACCATGAATCACCCCCACGAATTTTTTGTTTATTTTCATACCCCTTTTCCACGTACTGCAACACTCAGTACTTGAGTTTATAACTGTCGTCCAGAGTTTTATGGTTCTTACTGTAGAGTACATATAAAAAATAACAATATAAGCATATTCAATAATAATCTATATAATAAAACAAGACATTCGTATATTTATATGTTGCGTATAGCCGGCCAAACGGCTGGACCGATTGGGCTGACATTTTTTTGTGTTATAGTCTAAAAAAAATCGAAATTTTGTTTCAAATTTTTTTTCACGGGCAACGCCGGGCCCTTCAGCTAGTCATTTTAAAAATATAGATAGAAGATTCCATTAAACCTTTATATTAACCATCAAGGACACACTGCTGGTTACCTAGCTGTTGCTGTTGAAGTTCATATTGTTGTTGTTCATAAGCCTGAGACTGCATAAGTGCTGACCGACCCCCTAATCAACAATTTTCAAATAAAATCAGTAGAAGTATATTTTGAATTTGAATTTAGTTAAGATAAGTTTAATTCCCTTGGATGCAAATTATTTTATGAACATATCATTAAACTGTCTGTCAGATTGATTTAAAAAGATAATAATTTGTTTACTTGTACAGAATCACTTTTATCACTTTTAATTTTGATGGAAGACAATAATCACATGTTTTTTTCGAAATTTAATGGAAGAGAAGCTGTTTTTGGGATATATATCTAGAAATGGTGAAAAATTATGTTACGATACATTTGATTAAATTTACATGTCTCGTTTGCATTGTATTCTAAATTTAATTAGTGATAATCAAAGGG